CCTCTGTATGCACTAAAACCATTTAATTATAATTATCACCAAAAAACTGTAAGTTGACTAAAAGATGACTTCGATCCTAATAAGATCCTTAATGCTAAATAAACATAAAACGAACACAAATCTATTCATCCACGTAAGATCGTTAGTAATTTTCAAAACAGTATTTAAAATTTGAAAACCTCATTAAGATAGGCGAGCTTACACATAAAGGGTTTTGGAATAATACAAAAGATAATTTTCGCTTATTCATTAAATGTAATTAAAAGGGGGTGGTAATGGTGGCGGCTTCGCGAAATTAATATCATGCAAAATAAGGGGCAAGTCAGTGGCTGATTTTCACGTTAAGTGTTAAACACACTGGGGTGGAAGTGACCTTCAGTACGTCCGTTACGATGCCAACACGCTTGACAGATTATGGTTATAATATGTCAATTTCAAAATTCGAAGCTAATAAGTCATGCAAAGAAGTTTACATCGCCATAAAAGGGCAATGATAATGTTGCCAGTCTTCTGGAAAAAATCTCGATGGCATTGATGTGGATATGATATTTTTGGCATATAAATCCTTCTTTTTACTCTTCCATTTCTTAAATTCATATAGTTCTTGGTCTTTATTCGCTATGTGCGAAGTAGGTGGCGGAAAACGCCAAATTGATCGCAGCGTACGACATGGCAGAGATGTGAATTAATTCTGGATATGGGTCATAGTACATGTTGTTACATAAATTGTAAAAACAATGGGAAAAGCAGTTCGTGCAAGTTTTATTCGTTTCCAACATCAAAGTGGACATTACAGCAAAGACAAAAATGGATAGCTGCTGTGATGAAAATTAAAATTCAAATCCCGTACGTATTATAATATCTGTATGGTAGGAAAATCGCTAGGTATAATATACACACTCACTTTTTACACAATTTTTTTTCAATTTCGTTGAAAAACTAGTCGGAAATCAATATCTTATCATCTAGTTGACATGATTTGACAGGTCCTGAATAGTTGCGGACACTAGGGGCGCTGTCATTGCGCACACAACGAATAGGTACATAAATAACAAAACACGTTTTTAAGAAATATGGGCTAATGCACTAAACTTGTAACAGAAATCGATCATTATAATAAAAAAAGAAATATTTTATATATAAATATGACGCACTTTTTGCCTTGATCATTGATTGAACCATTATCTCAATTCAATTCTATATTTAACCGAAAAATTTGCTATCATACTAATTATGATACTTATAATAAAAATACTAAAGAAACGACTTATGTTTATATTTGAAATTCAATTTTGGCGACACATATTCGACACAAAATTTTGAAAACTCAATATATGCGCACCCTAACAATCTTGATCCACCGGGCGGCTCGTTAGCGATGGATGCGACGAGTTACTGACAGTTTTTAGAAACTGCGTGAAGTTTATTATATTTCACTTTTCATTCAGGTTCCCGTGTTCACACATTCATGGACTTTTGTAAACCAAATACGTCTTATGTACAAGTTACATATATTGCGTTGTGAGTTCTATTACTGTTAGCATTAAAGTATAAACTTAAATGATAACTTTACCTGATATATTATTTATCAACACTTATCTACTCATTCTTAAACTTGTTTTAATGTGCCATGTCCACAATCTAGGTCCAACAAGGAAAAATATTTAAAAAAAAAACATTAAGTGTCTTACATAATATGAGTTCACTGAAAGAGACATGCCTAGAGACATTAAATGATTACTTAAACTATTCCTTAGTAAAGACTATGTTCCGTAAACAATTGCCCAACTAACAGATTCCAGTTGTTTTCAGAAATAATTTAATTTTTAGATTTATTAGTTTTAAATAAATCCAACAACAAAATACAAATAATAATAAAACTCCTCAACATCTCTAAACACATAGCAGCAGCTATAATAATAATAAAAACAACGACGTTCTCACCAATGCCTGTGAGAGTGTGCGTGTGTATTACCGTGTATTATTGCATAATGAGTATTATTATTGAATTAACAGTTTACCCGAGATTAGCTAATAGTCCATTACAGGATAATTGGGGCTGAAGTCATAACATGCCTATTTAGACAGGCTTTTAAGTGGCTTAGGAATGGTAATGGCGAACCTATATTATGTACCTACATGTGTGTATTTGTGTGTATAATGTAAACGTTGATAATCGTACTGTTATAGGCTTATTAGTACACTTGGACTGGTCCATTATGTTTGCAGTTGAGTGGTTGGAGAATTTGTAGTTTAAGTTACGATTCCTGCTTCTGCCCAGGCAGATCAGAAGCTTATAGGAGCCCACTGCTGAGCAAAAGCCTCTTCTTACACGGAGTCGAGTGTTAATCACCATCCTTGTTCGATTGGCGATTTCTAAATAAATAAGAAAGTATATGACCAGGTTTCCACACGATGTTTTTCTTCACCATTCCTTCAGTGGTGTCTAAATAATCATAAAAAGTACATGTAACTCGGAAAAAGTCACATTGGTACCTACTTGTCAGCCCCATGACAAGCGGGTACCTTAAACACCGAGCCACCACAATTGGTGTAGTTACTAGTTGTGTGAAAAATGATACTTTTAAATACAACTCCTGAATGAAAAAAAGACTACTTAAAAACTTTTCAATTTTTAAATTCTAAATTCCATTTTATCGTTGAAGAGTTAAGAAAGCATTTTCTTTAATATAAATGTGTCCAGTATCATACACTGAATCCCAGTTCAATATAAAGAGAATATCATCATCATCGTTATCATCGTTGTCATCAGCCTGTCACTTTCCACACCTGAATAGGCATAAGGAATGAGCATTAATCACCACACGTACCCAAGCCGGATTGACGATTTCGAACTCATACATAATTACAATATATAAGATATCCTCACGATGTCCTATTGCCTTCACAAATATATAAGTGGTAGGTAAATAATCTAAGAAAAACTCGGAAAACGTTTCTGGTACTTGCCAGGTTTCCCACTACATGAATGAGAGGCGGGCGCCCGTGCAAATGGGTGAATTGGGCAATACGAGTACGCTCAAATTCCTATTAAATCTAAAGATAATAAAGGGCAAGAAATATATATTTATTAAATGCACATGCCTCCTACTTATAACCACAATTACTTCATTCAACCAATCCCATGACCTAGCCAAACAAAAGTCTAGAACATTCTACTGATAACACAATTCACGCAACAATACATAAACTACATTATATATGTCGGTACAATAACTTTTCCACGACTAAAATTAACACGTAGTCGTTAAGAAGATTACGTTTACCGCCAGACTTCAATAAAACAGAGATTTACTACAGAAGCATTTGTATAGTTAGGATTTATATTAGGTATTATATGACTATTCTGGTCTTACTATCGCGTTTACTCATACTAAATGTTGTTTAACTATATTTAAAGGGTTTACCGTCAAACTGATAAGTTCCATAAACACGTCACTATAACTAATCCTTATATTCAGCGAGGTAGGTTATGTAAGATTGCATTAATTGTTTTTTTTTTTTTGACTTTGGTCGGGATACAGATCACCTCTAGTTAAGTAATCGACACTACTCATAGACACTCAAAACATTAAAGGAGTTTCTAGTGCATTGCTGGCTTTTTTTGTTTTTTTGGGATTTGAGGATTTGGGCTATGACGATTGGGGATGGAGGGTGAAGGATTCGGCCTCTAGTAACCTCACCCATACGGCAAAACACGGCACTAAAGTTGTTTTATACTAGTATTTTGTGAAGTCGTGATATCACTCCGGTCGAGCTGGCCCACTCGTGCAGAAGCTCTCCCACACTTTTCACCAATTGGGACAAGAATTTGAAACGTGGTCGGCCTATTTTATTACCTTTTCCCGTTTTTGATAATATTAATTAACCCACCCTCTAACAACTAGGCTATTAAAAAGAATATATTGACAGAATCTACGAGCATACTGTTCTAGTCTCTAAATTTCAAATTGGCTTGATGTTTAATTCACTGTAGTATTCTAACCCATTTATCTAATAACATTAAATTGTTAAATAAACACGCCCATTACTTACACGCACTATTTGCCTATGACACCTTAAAACCCAGACAGCTCACTAATTTGATACAAATACACCAGAACCCCGACCTACATCAAAGAAACTGTGTGAACCCAACTTTACTATTATAATTAAACTGAATATAAAAGAATACACAAATAGAGTTACGTTTAAAAAACCTTATTTAATCACAAAAACCTTTGACAAGAATACTTTTTTTTTATTGCAGTAGCTTTTAATTGGATAAAGTCTGATAAAGTATTAGTTCAATCTGTCTGCGGGCTACGACCTGTCGTCTTTGCAATGACGTACCTAGGCCACTAACGACACCTATATTTACCTGTCTGCAACATAATATAGGTAATTGGATAATTAATTCGATTGTTTTTAATAAAGTCATTAAGTTACTGTAAAGACTCCTAGAGAAAATTGAAGTGTGGAAGAGCCATATTTGATCACATTAGTGTGGTCAGATGGCCATACTAGTTAACCGCCCAAATCTATGCATTATCCCCATTAACCCCGAATCTCAAATATTCCCTTCCTTCCCTTTCTTCAAATTCCTTACCAACTTTCCTTACACCAATGCAATTACAATGTCTTCTCCGCTCATGCTGCAGGTGTCAAATATATGCATGGCTGGCGCTGTTTGCAGACATTTCCGTTGACGTTGATCCCATTAAAAAAAAAAGTTGAAATTAGGTAAGCGATAATTGATATTCTTGATTTTTACATTCTCGGTACAGCATTCAATGAAAGACATTCCCACCGTAATATGATCTGCGTCTTTATAAAAAGAGGCCTACACGATACTAAAACTTCAATTATTACTTATAATAAAAAAACAAAGGCGCTTTCTCCGTCCCTATATCCCTAGGTAAGCTTAAATCTTTAAAACTACACAAGGGATATCTACGTGGTATTTGTAACAGTTAAATTATTTAAGAGGAAGTTTAATATGTGCCTCTACCGGAGCTAAAACCAAGTTCGAATGGCTCAAAACCTACTTCAATCTTGCACGGTTTTAGAAAGTTCATTATTTTTTTATTTTAATTGCTCGGTCTGTTGTTTTTCGCTGTCCTCCTTTTGCGCTTCATTTCTCAATTTATCTTTTTTATGTTCAAAATACAACCACCTGTGAACAAATTATGTGGGTTAGAAATACTTGTACTGTACACATTGCCGATAGGAGCAGGTATTTCTTTGGAAAATTGTTTTTTATTTTATCTTTGTGATGATATATGAGTATCTCCTGTGCAAAGGGTGCTCTTAAATACCAGTTACTTCGTAGCATCACATACACGTCACAAACGAAATAAAAATTTGTTGATCACACAAAGATTTTTTTTATTCTTGATTTTGTTTAGCCCCATCGTATCTTTTATATTAGAATTGATGATACAACCATACTATTTTCTACCATTTGACACAAAACTCCTGCATTAATTAGGGATGCACCACCATATAGGATAAAAGGATAATAGCTGGTTAATGTCCCATCACATTTAGATTAAAACTGTTCATCCGGCCTCTGCAAGCTGGCTTCAGTCCCTCGTACACCTTCCAAAGGTCCGGAACCATATGATCCCGTAAATAGTACAAACATTAATAATCATAATCAAATTGCAAACTTCTTACCCAAATATACCAATAGAAGGTAATGTCATAGCGGCGCCTAATAAAAACACAGCTCCAGGAAGAATGTCAAGAGTAGCCATGTAAACTCTGGAGTACAGTGGCCCATATAGCAGAGGCATTGTGGCTTCTGCCAACCCGAACAGAGAGTTCACTTTACCTGCAAATAATATAGGTTTTTTAGTTTTTCAAGTCAAAATCATTGGAAACTAGTAAACAACTTTTGATAAAACTTATTAGGAACCCGAAATATTCTCTAATCTAACTGTTACCTACACGAAATATAAAACTGCCTCTTTCTGTCGCTGTAAACCTTTCAAAAATTTTGTTTATTAAGTTTAAATGAAAACTGCTTGACAACGTATAATAGAACTTAGAAGTAACCATATGTAATTTATTTGTCAAGCTCCAAAACCTTGAAGTACGTTTTCGAAAATATATTCTTTATTCGAACACTTTTTGGAAATATAAAACTACCTGTCTCTCTAAACTTTTTTTTTATATAATAGATCGGTAAACGAGCAGACGGATTACCTGATAGTAAGCAATCAGCGCCGCCCATGGACACCCGCAACGGAGGAGTTACGAGTGCGTTACCGACCTCTTAGGGATTAGGGTTTTGGAGATTAAGGGACTCAAGTAAGTTCCAACTAACTTTAAACCCGTTATCGTTTATATTAATATAAACGATAACGGGTTTAATAAGATAAACGATAGCAAATCGGTTCAGCAGCCTTTGTCTTGAAAGTTTTATGAAAACTCCGTGATACGTAAACGCTCTCAATGTGCAATTACATTGCTATTATAATATTAATTTGGAAAGTACTTTTACGCAAGTCTGGATTACTTCGACTCCGCCCTGGAGGATAACTTTGATCCAAACCTCTTAACAAATAACCAATAAACACAGAACAAAACGTATATTCGTTTTGGAAATTTGGATCAAAGTTCCCAGGCTTAAATAAACCCGAACTTACGGATAATTTAAAAAAATATGCTTCGACACGAATGTGTCGGACTGAAGTGATACAATGGAAGTGACAGAACCACAGCGTTGTGTTTCGCCGAGTGAGTTGTGAGTGAGGTTACCGGAGGCTCAACCCTCTCCCAATCCCAAAATCTCCAAATCTCTAATCCCAAAAAGGTCGTCAACGCTCTCGTAACTCCTCGGTTGCGGGTGTCCATGGGCGGCGCTAATTGCTTACCATCGGGTAATAAGAATGCTCGTTTGCCGACCTACCACATGAAAATAAAATATGATAACCTACAGTAATGAACTAAATACTCGTATTACAATGTAAAGTATGACTGACAGTATTTCGTTTTTGTAAACAGAGATTGGATTTTTATGAAAAAACAGTTTTATGGCTATAAAATCTATAATATAAAAATGAATCGCAAAATGTGTTGGGAAGCGCATAACTCAACAACCCTGGACCAATTTTGCCAATTCTTTGTTTGATGTGTTTGTTATGGTCAGGAGAAGGTTCCTATGAAAGAAAATTATAGAAAAGTGGAAGGGAGATCTGGGAAATAGGGACACTTTGGTTGTAAGCGAGATAATGGGAGACCCGTGCGAAGCAGGGGCGGGCCGCTAGTATAAATATAAATAAATAGTTACTTACCAAATTCTTCACCGTCCACCAGTTTTGTGGCAATGGACCGCATCGCAATGAAAGAAGTGCCATTCAGTATTTCCAGTAGAGGTGCTGTGAAAAGAAAAAAATACAAATTAATATTAGGTATTATATTCTATAACGTTTTACCTATTTAAAGGACTAAGTACATATCATTATATGGATGACCGAGCCTTCACGTTTGCTCGGTATTTTTTTCTAATGAAACGCTGAGCTTCGCCATCAGGTTACTGGGGGCCTAACTCTTCTTTCCTTTCAACAATCGTTTCCCGATCCTTAAATCTCAGAAACTCTAATACCCAGATAGCCAGCAACACACTTTTACCTCCTCGTATTTCAGGTATTATCAAGATAACCCGTTTGCCGACAAATCACATAAAAAAACCTACTATTTGCATATAAAACGTGATACAAATTTTCATCGAAATGTTCAAGCCGTCTTAGATATAGAATGAAACGGAGCTTGTAACTGATTTAAGAAAAAAACATCAAGTATTTTTTTACTTGCGTAATTATCTAAATTATTTTTGTATTATTATAAATAAATTTAGTACATTAACTACTACATGAAATAAAGAGAGTATTTATATAGGTATACCTGAAAACATAAAAGGAAAATTCAAAGAATTGTTAATAACATTTTCGTCTATATATAAATGTAGGTCAATTTATTTAAACATTTGCTTTTAATTTAGTGTTAGTTTGTAAGTTAGTGACTATAAACGCAATAACTAAGTTATATATTCCGTAAGTATTTACGTAGGGGAACTAAAATATTAATTGTACTAGGAATTGTAACATTTATTCTGGCTTACAAACGAAATATTTCTGGTGTCACCACAATTTGTCAGGGTTTCGGGTCTAGCTTAATAATATATCGTGGCCCCTGCCTTTAGCAGGAGTGGAAACTTGGTTTTTAGTCAGTAAGAGTTTGACACACTCTCACACAGACCCAGAAAGAGGGCGAGAGAATTCATTTAATGATATTTTCACTCAAAAATTACACTTTTGCGATACAAAAGTAAAATTACAATTGGGTAATTTCCTATGTCAAAAATAATTAAATTCGACATTTCAATATAATAAAATATTTAAAAATAACTATGTTTATCTTTATTCATCGATCGATCGATACACATAATTTTAGATATTTACTAACTATTTTTTAAGAAATAAGTAAGCTATTTGACGTTCAAATACTATGACGTCATAACTCAGCGTTTAATACATATTTCATAGAAAAGTATCGTTTTTGACAGCTGGATAAAAGTATTGAATTTGACTCGTTTGAAACTACCGTATTTCACTACACGGTTGGCGCTGTGATTGGGCAACGTGTCTAAGATTCGTTTCTAGTACGGAACAACGCTTTGTTTGATCCAAAAATTGTTGTTTCGAGTATTGTATCAGTACATCAAAAACCCTATCAATACTTAGTCTGATTCCAGAATTTAAATCTACAATTGGGTGCTTGATAAATCAGACTAGTGACCATCGCACAACTACTCGATATACAAAATATTTGGTTAAACTTAGTATAGTTTTAAACCCATCATAATTATAATTTCATTAAATAGCAAAGAGAACAATAAAAAAATTTGGTCTCAAAACAAAAACTCATTATTCTAATTTTCATTCTGAATAAAACAAATCGGATTTTTTGCTTTATATTAAATTTTATCAATCAACAAATGCCTTATTGAAATGCTGTTGAGCAATTGACTTTATAGAATATTAAGGTTAGTATGGGAGTAGGGTTACAAATAAAATAATATATTACCTAAACGAATTTGAGATTTATTCTTTTTTACAAAAAAAAAGCAATGACATTAAACCTTTGTAGAGGACAAGGGGTGTTTTAATCAGTCTCATTCGAGAGACAATTTTAATTTAGAAGAATGAAGAAAATCAAAATAGTGCGTAAGGATAGTAGTAAATTGCACCTTTTTTAAGAGGAATATCATATAACTACTTCTCCCACGTCGAGGTGGAACGAGAAGGAGTGTCAGACTCTTACTGACTAACAGCCACCCCCTTCCATCTCCTGCTTTAAGCCGGGGCCGTGGTACATAATTGCTCTTGCTCCCGCTACCCCGATAGATAGCACCCTGTTGTTCCCTTCTTTTCCTATTGTGACATTTTTTTGTTTTTATTTTGTATGGATACGACAAAAATTTATTGCAGTACTATTTGTAGGTAATAACAATGTTAAATCAACTTGCAAAAATATCCTCACGTTGCGTAAATAAGTTCATCGCGTAAATATTGTATATTCAGTAAATAAATAACAAATAATTTAAGACCCTCCCTCCTTTTTGGTAGTCGGTTAAAATCAATGACAACATACTACAAATGTGATGGAATGGACTGTTTTAGTTTAATTTGAAAGAGAGAGGCAATCGTTTAATTCTGTTTTCTACATTACTGAATCAATTAATACTTTTGACGATATATTGATTTGAAATATAGTACAGCCAATAACAGGAGGTGACGTATCCCCTAAAATTAAGTTTATTTTATCTATGCATTGTTTTATTATACGACAGATTAAAGTATAATTAATGTCTACTATTTTTTATTCAATATTTAACTGATAAACTAAATAGATTATATTATATTTTCATCTCTTATTTTATTTTTTTATTAACTGAGTATGTAACTGAAGGGACGCATTACACAGTGCCTATTGTTAATTGTTGCAAGAGATAAAATAGTTGATGATAACCTTAGAATCTTATCAGACAAATAATGGATGCAAATACTTTGAGATAATTTTACTTTATCATATTACATATTGTATTATCTTTGTTCAATGCAACGCGCTTAAAAGTTTAATTAAACATTGCATTATTTTTATTGCCAGTAGTGGTTTGTCTTTATATACAATTTTATTCAATAAAACTGACTTAAAATAATTTTATTTTTTTATAAATGTTTGTATAAAACCTGGCCACCCTTGTGATATTTTCCGAGTTATATGTCATCATCATCATCATCAGCCTATAAGTGCCCACTGCTGAGCAAAGGCCTCTTCCCATACGGAGAGGTTTGTGCATTAATCACCACGCTTGCTCAAGGCGGATTGGCGATTTCAAACTTATAATTAGAAATTATAAGTCCAGGTTTTCTCACGATGTTTTCCTTCACTGTATGTCAGTGGTGTCTATTTAATCATATAAAGTACATATGACTCAGAAAATGTCACATTGGTACTTGCCAGGTTTCGAACCCACATGCATGAGAAGCGGGCGCCGTTACCTCCGGGCCACCACGACTGTTATATGTACTTTCTATGATTATTCCGATTGCACATACGCTGAAGTATATCGTGAGGAAACCTGGACTTATAATTTCTAATATTAAGTTTTAAATCGCCAACCTGCCTTGAGCAAGCGTGGTTATTAATGCTCAATCCTTCTTCGTGTGAGAAGAGGCCTACGCTCAACTGTGATGTGAAATACATTTTCTTATCATTCTTATTACCGGGGTGGCCTGATTAGGTAATTGAGCATTTTCGAAGAGTTTTCGTAAGCCCTTTAGTATTATTTATTGATAGATATTGGAATAGAAGCCATACTTAGTATTCTGATTTTATTAAATAAAATACATATAACTACATAATATTTTATTTGCCGCCGTTCTATTTGCCCAGTCGTTTACGTAATGAGATATAATAATGACTTATTTAATATTTTCTAAGATAATAATAGACACCATTGTCAATATATTTGCGCAGTTAGATGAGTACAAGTCTGTATTTATTTTCAGCTTTTACTTTGTACGCACCGTTCTTGCTTTTCAGCGTTTGTTTTTTAATAGAAAAGTAAAAAGAAAAGAGAAAAAAAAAATACAATAGTACTTCTCGTAGACCTTCAAGATTATCTATCATAGATTTAATTTTATCGATATTTTTTAATTATTCGAGTAACTATAAGACACTTTTGTTATGATATAAACAACTCAACTTTTTTAGACAAATTTCAAATTGTAGCAAGCGCAATAATGTGGCTGGAGTAGGAGAAGGAACGATGTGGTTTTTAGTCAGAAAGAGTCTGACTTTGTCTCTCGCAACGCCCAAGACGCACAAATTCATTTGATGATTATCCAATATAATTAGAATTTATTTAATTTATAATTACAATTTATTTAATTAACATAATTACAATTTATTTAATGAAATTGTAAATGTGTACATATTGCACTTACCTAAATAAATCTCCAAGTCATTCCTTGCGAAGGCATACGCGAAGGCTGCAATAATCTTACTGACGTTGGAGATAATACCGAGGAGCGTGTCATCCAGCTTCATATAGTTGCTGAATAACGTTATGGAGAAGAATGTGCCTGTAATACAAATAATTTTGTTAAAACAGCAATTATAATATTTATGGTAGCAGTCAATGATATTATACGTAAAAAGGTGTAGACAGGGTACAAACGCTCAGCAAGTGATACATTATAATGTGGCTAACTAGCCACACTTTTTGATATTTGTCTCTTTTTCACTCGCCATTATTGAATCATGCCATCCTACTTTAACGTATCATACGATTTATTCATATGTGCATAAGTATGTAGTTTTTGAAAATCGAATGTTGTTTATGTAACCTATCTACACCATTTTACTTATAATATCATTGGTAGCAGTGGTGAAATTCTGCATAGCGGTATCACTTCAGATTGCAGATTTTAAAAAGAACGATAGGTAAAAGAGAAATCCTGCACATAATATGTCGTTATCATTAGGACACTACGAATTGGACAAATAAGCATATTACGAAAACCTCATTATTGATAGAAATTTTTCAATTTCGTGTCTTACATAATTATAGTATTAATCCATTAAAAATATTTACACGAAATGCATTTCGTAAACTCACCAAACAGAACTGAACTCTACAGCAAATAGCATAAGGTACAAATTCACTTACAATGCTCTTGTATTTCAAAGATTTATGACTAATAGCGACAGATGTGTATGTGTCGTCACCAGAACACCATTGATAATTCACAACGAGCATAGGACGAAGCAGCCGGAACCAGATTATTACCGCCTTCGACTAATAAGGAAGTATTTACTCGTTCATTTGCAAAAATGATACAACTACTAGCATGAATATATCCTTGAAATTTACAAACAATTTGGTGATTATTGTGCTTTTTACTCCAAGAAGGAAAATCCTCGTGCCCATCCCCTAGAGATGACGAATGGGTCTTAAAGAATCTTACAGACTAAAATCAACCCTGTTCCTTCATCGGGATGAAAAAGTTTATAATGAGAAAGAAAAAGTGTCAATAAAATATGGACAGGTATTTCTGATATTTATATAGGTATTTCTGATAACTATACTGTTGTGAAGGAGCGGAGTCTTTAAATACAGGCATTATCTGCTTAAATAAAGAATCCAAACCCAATATTGTTTGTGTATATTTTTTTGAATCAAAAACCGTTATTATATTATTATAGCTGGGAGAACCACTATTCAACTAATTTATAGATAATATATCAAACTAATTATTAACCATTTTTAAACACCCTATACCCTTTTTTGAAGAAGCAAACATCATTAAATTACATTTCTCGTCCAGAAAATGGCGATAGGGAGTGTAAGACTCTTAAACTCTTAAAAGACTGACAAAAAATTACCGCGTTCTTTCTCCTGCTCGAAGCTGAAGCCAAGGTACGTAACTGCTATTGACACAAAACCCTATACACTAACATTTTGATCCTTAAAGGCCGATACTTAAAGTTTATTATATAATGTTATTTACTTACCCATTAAATTGGTGACAATGGAGTAAGTGGACCACATACTGTACTGAACTTCATCCCAATTAAACCTGTATCTTGTGAACAGATACATAACTGTGAATTCACCTGAAAAAAATAATAATATGACATTATTTTGACTGGGCAGTGGCTGGGCAATTGGTTGCTGCGCTTGGTGACGCGGATTCTATTACTTGAATGGAAAAATCTTTGTGATTCTCTGTATTCTGGCTCGCGTTACATTTTTTTATAACTCTCTCTGTTATCTATAAACTCATCCAAGTCACAGGGAAAAAACTTAGAGTGGAGCCAGATTTAAAAAAAAGTAAGAAAGGAAACAAAGTATGTAGTAAGACATACAGACAAGATTTAAGTAAAGAGGTTAAATTCAAAATAAATAAATAACGTCTTCTATTCTTTCTGTCACAAATGTTTGTCATAGTATAAGTGATACACTTATGCTCAATTCTATATTTGACCTAACAACATTAATTAATATAATCCAAATTTTCGTTTTAGTAGTTGTGTATTTTAGTATTTTAATCATTCAGTACATTATCAGACGGTACCGCTATCGGCTAATGCGCTAAGTGTTTCAGAGAAAAATACAGCGTAGTTGAAATAGTAAAGGGAGTAAACAATCGAAAACTAGGAAAAAGTAACCTTTTGTGCGACTTTCAACCTTGAATACTTTAAGACAAAGAGTCGAGATTTTATGAGACCTTTAAAGTAACATATAAAAAGGAAAAGTAAAGGTTTATACGAGTTTCCAAGTCATTCCGAGGTTGACCACGTTTTGTGCTGGCGTATATTTTAAAGGCGAAAAAATAGGACTTTAACATGTATCAATAGAGAAGCTTAAACTTTCTCTCAATTTGAAAGGATAAAAATTGCTAGATTTAAAACAAAATTAGTTCCAGAGTCATTCATATCAAATTTAAAAAAAGAACTTATACAAAAATGTACCTATAAAATTATAATCGTGATAATATTTTTAATTAGACGAAAAAGTTTAATAATGACAGTTTTGTTCAAATATCACTTACAGAGCAGTTTGCATGGTAAAGAAAATTGATGTTTAATTTTTAATTTTTATTTAAATCCTCACTACCAACCTTCTCTGGACTTCCACAAATAAATCAAAACCATACATGACTAATCTAGTCTAGATCGACAGAACTCTAGAATTCTGTAAGTAGAACTCTGATTCAGTCTTAATAAATTTTATATATAAGATTAATATTTAAGAAAACAACATTTACTCACCATGCATCGGTCCAAAAACAACGCATACGACAATAAGAAGTAAGCATACCCGTAGCCTCCTATTGCCAGCACCTTTTTTGAAAGCCACCTTGAAAGTTTCCATCACCAGGCCAACATCGAAGAACTCCCGAAGGAAACATTTCTTATTGTCCTTATTTTCCTGAAAACCCCATAAAACGGTAAAACAAATAGAAAATGTGTTCTATAATGGAACCATTTTAAGCTTAAAAATCGTAAAATTTATTCTTTGTTTATTTATAATACTTTGAATTTAATTTAAGTATTCAAAGTATTTTCTCTTTGTATTAGTAAAAAATTAAAATCAATTAAAGGAAACGAATATTTCCATTTTTAAAATTACGTATAATCCAATTAAAGGTTCTTTTTTGTTTTTTTTAGCACCCCTGTCTTTTATTTTGACATTCTTGTTTTACAAGTACATCATAACTGATCTATTTGTTTTTAGAATACAGAATAATAAAATTCGTTTTTTAATCACTACCAATCAATATGAAATTTTGAGCTTTCTATTTAAGTGGCAAAATATTTTCTATAGTTTTAAATCTCAATAACTGTAAATACACTTACCATTTTCTTTTCAGCCCTTTGCTTCGGATCTTTCAAATATTTGTACCCGTATATTAAACTAAATAAGTACAAAGATGATGATACGGAAAATACACCATAGTATCCAACCCAGGACAACATAATGCCGCTTAATGCACTTCCTATGGGATAGCCAAGTGACATAAACATGTTGACCAGCCCTACTCTGTAAGTCCTGTTTTCCTCAGTCGTGATATCGCCAATATAACTGAACACACCAATGAAATTAGTGAACCATCCACCTGTTATGGCAGGAAATATTGCTTCTGTAAACGCAGACACTTCGACAGGCAAATTGAAAAAATATGTATTCACAATGAACCCAAGACATGCCACAAATTCCCCAACTATAGGCAACATGATACACGCTTTTCTCTTCCCAGTCTTGTCACTCCAGGCTCCAACGAAAAGGATAAGTAACACTGGGATGGATGTTTGCACCACATTCTTCCATACTCCCACACTGGCCGTAAGCTTTTGCACTGCTTGTTCTTCAAGAGTATAGTTTTCTGTCTGTCTCAAATTTAACGCGTCACACACTTCTGTGCTGTAATTTAAATTCACTCTGCATGCTTTTTCTAAGTTCAAGTTTTGTATGGCTAACGACGCAAGTACACTGGGCATCACATAACAAGCCATAATTGGTTCTACAGTTGTATTGTCTTTTATCAATTTTAGCCTTTCTCTGAATGTGAGCTTCTTTTTTTTAACTTCTTCATTTTTCTCTTCCTTTTCACTTTTGTCATTTTCTTCTGTACATGGTTTAAGAGGAGAAGATTCATCTATGTCTTCTTTATTTACCTCTTCTTTCAAATTTTCTTGTTCAGTTTTGCACGGATCCATGTTTGAAACTTTCTTTTACATGTCACTGTTATATCTCAACCATCAGCAGTATATGTAATATATTGAACAACAACACCTCAGGACTGCGTCTATTTGTATAAGTGGTGTTTGTTGTGATGCTTGTAATATACATTATTTTATCCAACTCAATATTTATATTGTCTCGACTTGATACTGATAAGGAATATAACTGGAGCCAATTGCGTGCATCTGCTTTTTATCAGCGCTTTCTAACACCCATAATAAAATTACGGGCTTAGAATAGTAAATACTCGTAGAATTTCCCGAGTTTCTTGTATACACTTTGTAACGTCTATTTTTGTTTTTCATAAAAATAAACTGTTTGTTTTCCTTAATTATTCGTTGTGAAATTAATTGAAATTTGTCGCAGACATGTTAATGAGACAGCATTCAGCTGCCAGACGATACCGGAGCACGACTTGACTCTTTGGGCGGTCTAAATGAACACGAGCCTAAAGTGGTCGTACCTACTACGTACACAGTGCCGGGCGATGCAAACGACTTGGTTTTATGCTCATTAGTGTATATACTCGATCCTATCGTAGGTATAACAACATCACCCGTCTCTTTGAAGGGTTTATACGATGCGCTTTTCATTTGTTATTATGTGTATTCTTAAGTCTCTATAGACCTTTTTATTGTTAGAACTTCTAATAATTGTAACTACATTTCCAAAGTCGAAGGTTTTAGAAATGAAATCAGTGACTCCACGAGCCCGTATTACGCTTACGCAAAGATTATATTATTGTTATCTTTTCGAATCTGTTTTTTCTACTTCTATTGTAGATATGACGTTTAGTAAATATTGTCTCATTATGTACAGTTTCGGGTATTCAGAATAAAAATATTATAAGTATAAACGTGTTTGCTGTGATATTTTTAGGGATTTACTTGTTTTTTGTTTTGTATTTTTAAAAAGAGCATTAATTAACGAGAAGCCACTTATTTTACGGTAACAATACTAACGTACTGCATACAGGCAATAAGGCTTTTAAAAATTGAGAATGGAGGGCAATCAAACGCGTCCCTTGAAATGTGTATCTTATTGTGTTTACAATAAATTTGTCTTTTAATTCGCTCTTTTAGCGTATGGACGCAGTGTTTCTTAGCGTGTTTGTGTGATCTGGCCCACGATTACTAAACGAAAAGTCTGGGGAAAATTCCCGGTAAGATAAATGTGTTGTGTTTGGATTTAATTATTCGTTATAGCATAAGAATCATAGTAATAAGCTTATAGTTATGGAATTTTACATAATAACCTCATATCCTATGTAAGACATAGGAATAATAACGTAACTGTTTACCACAACTGGAATCAACTGACGTCATATTCAAACAAAATTAAGTTTTTTTTTCTTCACTTATTATTTTTATGTGTGCCCGGTGAACGATCAAACGGATTACCTGATGGTAAGCAATCGGCCCATGGATACTCGCAAGTCTAAGGAGTTACTACGGTGTTACCGACCTTTTAGGGACTAGGGTTCCGGAGATTTAGGAGATGGGGAGGGATAGGGAGAGTGGAAAAATTGAGCCTCCGTCATATCACTCACACGACGAAAAACAACGCTGTGGTATTTTCACGCTGGTTTTCTGTAAGGCTGGGGTATACTCCGGTTGAGCCGACCCATTCGTTCCGAACCATGCTACAATCAAGTACTTGACCTTCATTTGTTAATCACCATGTCTTCTCCAGTAACGGAAGATCTCATTAACGACTTCCTGACTCCTATCATTACCTGTAGTTATAGGTAATGATAGTGACCTAGTACTTTGTGGGAGACCTAATTCTCTAATTATCTAATTGGTGTTTTTTTAGGTCACAATGACGTCATCATTGGTAGGTGTTTATTTAATTTATTGTTTCACTAGTTTCTGCAGCAGCACCAGGATCTGTAGGCTGTTCCAGATTATATTCTTTATCTGTGTGATCTCGTTCTCTCGCCCAGGTTAAGGCGAGAGGGTGTGTCAGACTCTTACTGGCTAAAAAGCCCCGTCCCTTCTCCTGCTCTAAGCCGAGGCCGCGGTGACTAGCTACATTTAATATTCAGTTTCCTATTATGATCTTCTTAATATCCACCAGCTTCTGACACGAAGAAGGAGAAGGTATAAGCATTAATCACTACATTCGCTCAAGTCAGGCATACAATCCGAAAGCTGAAGGAATAGGTGATCTTTATTCAATAAGAGTGACTCCTTCTCGCTCCATACAGGGAGGAATAAACAAGTACACTCTCCCACCAAAAAAATATAAAAATATAATTCTTTGTGATAGTTTCCTTTACCGTATTTCAGGGGTCTCCAAACAATATATATCGTTTGTTCAATCAAGTATTTTCTCAAGTTTCGAATGCGCACCAGAATTTTATTTTATGCCAAAATTACTCAAGGGCCTATAAAAATTAACAGATATAAACATATTTTTAATACAATGTAAGTACCTTAATGCTGCTTACATATCAAACTCATCGTTTCTTAATAAAAATGTATAGATACTTTTCTCAAAAATGAGTACACACAGCTAAAAATATTATTTTAAAAAGTTTATTAAAAAAATTAGTTCGGTACAAATATATTAAGCGCATTAACAATTACATCTAGACTTACTAAAAACACTAATTTATTTACTAAATTAACTAGGTACATATTATTATGACTCGAGTTTCTCAGGAAGCTTTGCAAGCCTTTTCTGCTTTCTCACTTCTTTTCTGTGTTCGAAGAATAACCAGCTGTAATGAAAAAACAAACACATTAGTAAAGAAACGGAATCAATATAATTTTATGGCCAAATTATTATAATCCGATAGTTTCCAACTATTCAAATTCAAAACAAAGTCAAAGTCATTTCTATGAATTATGTATGTAGGTAGGTAATCATAAAATATATCCCTTATTTTATTTTACGTCGTCTGAGAAAAATGTGGAAGTAACCCCATCGTTACACTTTAAAATAAATATATATTACAAAAATAACAATGCAATGAATAAATTGTGAAAAAAGGCCAAACAATTTCTGTTCTTTGGACAGTCGAAATCGTGGAATAGCCTTCCTATTTTTCAGCCAATGAATATTATATATTGATTTGACGATATACTTTAATTTCGTTATTTTCTGACTATTTAAGAAATAAATATGCAATTGGACACTCAATTATAATGGCGTCACAAGATACATCAGGTAATAAAATTCATAAAAAAACTTTTATTTTTGACATTACAATAAAAGTAAAGTTTTTGACTACTGCAATAACCTCTCTAAACATTTTAAAGTCCAACACAAATAAATCCTAATTAAGTAATACACTCTACCCGACTTAGGAATTAAAGTCAAATAATATCAGTCGATCAAAAGACACGGCAGTCACAGACGAAAAATATGATCAACGAGGTCAAAAAAAATAATGTGGTTGCTATAAAACCACTTGCATTCGGAAAAATTAATAAAACAATCTCAAGAGTACTTTAATGTATAACAGTCAACATGTCTATATTGTATATACTTACAAGAGCACTATCACAGCTGGCAGTGTCATACTGGCTCCCAGCAGGAAGACAGCTCCTGGCAACACCTCCATGGTGGCTGTGTACACCTTCGTGTACAGCGGTACGTAAATCAAGGGCATCAGGTTCTCCACCAGACCTATCAGCGAATTTACCTTACCTGGAAAAAGATTAAATAATTAATATAGATTATTTCATAGTTTAACTTGTTTTTTAAATGTAGGAGACCGTATATGTATACCATAGATGTACATATATAATACCATAGAATGAGTCACCCGTAGGACATAGTAGGGCTTAAACGGTAGTGCTTGAGCTGAGTTCCGGCGTGTTCTCAATTTTCGCAACAGTACTTAGACGAAGCCATGCTTTGCAAAAAAAATGAGAATCACGCGTCCCTCACGTGATTCTCATTTTTCTATCCTCCTCACACCCCAGCTACCACAGTAAGCGACACTCCAGAAGTGGGGGATCGAGGAACGGTGAGCAAGTGTAGCCCACTACTCGACTGGAATCAGACCCAAGCATACAGCGTGGGCCGTTCCACAAGCGCCTCAAAGTCCAATAGACCACCACATATGAAATTAAATATCTGTTTATTACAGTAATTCAAACACAACAGTCAATTGCAATGATTACATCATCCACCATCTATACTAATATCAGTAATTTCTTTGCTAAGAAACCCGCTTCTCACGATGCATGGGAATGCGGGTACGCAACTTGGCAAGTACTAAAGTTACTTTTTATGTACTTTCTAATAATATCAACACACAACTCATATAGGGGTAGGAAAACATCTTAAGGAAACCTGAACCTATAGTTTCTTATTATAAGTACGAATTCCCCAACCCCCTCGAGAAAGCTTGGTGATTAATGCTCAATCCTTTTCCATGTAAGAAGAGGCCTTCGCTCAGCAGTGAGTACTTATAGGGTTATAATGATGATGATGATGATGATGATGATGATGAATTTCTTCACTTACCTAATTCGTTAGGTTCTACAAGTTTTGAGATTATCGACCTCATTGCTAGCAAAGACGTTCCATTCAGAATTTCAACCATTGGCGCTAAAACAAAATTGTAAATCTATTAATAAATTAAATAATTTTATTATTTTTATCTACAAATAAAACAAATTATAAATAGAGTTAATCTTAGATCTTAATCATAATGAGTAAATCATTAAATAAAATGTGTTTGTAGGCATATAAAAGTCCTCAAATAGGTTGACTTTGTTGTTTGCTTGCAATTTAATTTATTAATTTTTACTTTAATTTTCATAGTATTTTTAAATAATAAAATAATGTATAGACTTATTAAGCTTTCATATCATTAATTAATTGTAAAAAAATGCATTATAACGAGAATACAGCATACAAAATCGTAGAAGCCAAGTAACTTAGAAATAAACAGCATGGCATAAATATATGAAAAAAAAATCAAAATGTGCGTGATATTTTACAAAATATTCTCTAAATACCTAATCAAGAAACAAAATAATTAACACGCAATTACGTAACGATTAAAATAAAACTATATAGGTCAAATTCGAATACATATCTAATAGTACGATTATCACGATAAAAAGTTCCGGTAATCACGATAACGATTGTTCATAAAAACAATTGGAAACAAAAAAGTACATTAGTCCACACATATTTATAAAAATGTGTAGATAACTAGATTAAGGTGGAATACTGGTCATCGATATCAATAAATTGTTTATCGATTAATCTACTTACAGTCTTACCCGTACATCGGAATTTCTATAGCGTTACCGTTATCACGATAACGGAAATAATGGTTAATCATTTTAAAGAATTGATATTTTGAATGTCAGTAAAGTTTAAAAGAGTAAACATGACATAAGATCACATCCTATAATCGCTAAACTCTTAAAGAAAAACGCCTTTGTATGTGTATGTATATTCACCTAGGTTTACACATCACTTACGGACTGAGTCATTTGTTTTGGAAGAGATCATTATGATAAACAGGGAACAATTCAAAAAAAATTGGTCCTTAATAACAAAGGGTGAGGGAAGAACCCTCCAGTTCCCTCTCCCGCTTTAGGCCGAAACCGCGATGCCTCATTGCAATTACCCCGCAACTCTGGCTGAACGCATAAGGTGCAATATTCGCAATTTCTTTTTTTTTTTCAGGAACTGCCCTCCTATGACCCAGGTTAGGGCTAGAGGGGGGGTCGAACTGACTTAATACTACAAACTCCTACTATTCCGGACCGGAGTAGCCTTAGTAAGCTACTTATACCAAATCATTAGATAAGTATTGCAATAAATCAGTATCTGTTAATGTTCATGTTATCTAAGAAATGAACTAGACTGCACAGAGCCTAATTTTGCCTATCTAATATTTATTATGTCAAGGCATCGCGCCATCGTCAAACGATTATAATTTTATGACCCTCTGAAATATACTTCGTCTCTTTTGATAACTAGACTTAAAATCAAAAATCTATCAAAATATCGAGATGGACTGCGTAATAAATAAACAATAGCAACAACAACATTAATTGATTTAACGGCATGCAATAAGTATTGTAACCATATTCTTTTACTCTCAAACACGAACGTGACAACTCACACTCCCGTACAAATTTTATATATGTATATCAACTGTCTGTCTTTTGTTAACATATAAGTACATACATATTCATTGACGTACTTAGTTTTCATGTACCATTTTATTTATTAAATATTGTATAACAGTTAAACCTCTTAAGAATAGTGGCATGCAATATGTATTATGAATATGAATGTACACGTAATATCACGCTTTCACTCTGTCAACCTACAGGAAATGTATAAGATACACACACACACACACGTCATACATTTTCCGAAAAAAGGCAGCTATCGGTGACAACATTTTCCTATCAAAAGGTTAAATGTAATGATAATATGGGATAAGTATCTGTTTAGACAGCTCATAGTGTAATACTATACGGCGTTTTAGAAGTGTGTCGTTTCAGGAATCTATATAAAAAATTACAGTTATTTCCAATTAAAATCGAAATTGCGATTTTTATAATTCTGGTTTCGCATCTCAATTTTTGTTTAATTATAAGATATCGAATGAAGTCAAATCAGTCATTTTTTCAATTAAATCATATCTAATCAAATAAAATCATTTATTTCTTTGAAAACATGAAATGAATGGCAAGTACATAGATGTTACAATAAAATATTAGTTCTTCATATTCTAACGTCAATGAGCATGCATACGAATAGTAAGATATTGGTTTATAGATTAATAATTAAGGCAGAATATTACAAATACATAACAACGTTCGACGGACAAGAAAAAAATCACCAAAAAAACTACTTCTTCGTTAAAATAATAATAGATTACATCAATGATCGTTGTAAAAGGAGCGATAGAATATCTATAATGGCTGAGGTTTAAAACAGATTGATAAGTGTTAGTGCGGGCCCGCGATCCGTCACTGTCAGCCTGGGATTATATTGACGATCCTAAACACTATCTTTGCATACTTTTTAAATATTGTGAGAAAAACTTGCTTTTAGCGAAAATGATCTATATATTTAAGTTAAACTAAGATCAGATTAATAATGGAACTTTAAACAAGTGTAGGAGAGCCAAGCTTCAGCACGAATGAGTCAGCTCGACCGGAGTAACGGAGCCACAGCCCCAAAAAAAAACCGGCTTGAAACAACCACAGCATTGTGTTTCGCCGTGTGACTGTATTTACCGGAGACTCAATTCTTTACTGCCTATAATAAGTATAACCATATTCTATTTAATAATCTAAAATCAAAAAAGGATAAGGATAATCCTACTATACTTACTGTTATTAAAAATATAATAAATTTCTTACCTATATAAAAAACTTTCTCGTTCTTAGCAAAACAGTAGACAAAGGAAGCTGCTATCTTACTCAGCGTGGACACGATGCCCAGCAAAGAGTCATGCCACTTCAAATACTTGCTTAACACCAAAATCGAGAATATTGTACCTGGAATTAAGTTAAAAGAATATAATAATATCTTTGATTAAAAGAAAATAAAATTTGTGAGCATTTATTTTCCACTGCGTCGTTTCAAAACTTGTATGAAATCGTAGAAATCTGAGCAAATTTTATTTAACCTTTGACAGACTATACTACACTTAAGTGTAGTTAAGTATTTAGTGATTTTTCATGGTTGGTTACACGGCTTACAAGAATTGCAGTAGCAAAATATGAGACGCAGAATATAAAAAAATAATATTTCATTAACTAATTAAATACAATATGGTAGGTATTAAGAATTATAACAATTAACATGGTGTTAATATACAAAGTAATTTTTTGCATTAAATACTGCTCCCTAAAACTGTATCGTTACTTTAATATACTGTAACAAAAACAGTTGTGGAGACAATGCAGTTTTGACTAAGTTAACATCCATATACGTAACAGCTAAAGATTTGTAATTTTAATTCTGATAATTCAGAAACAACCACATTGCAACTAAAGTTCTTTTAAAAGATAAGATTGAAGAGCTGGATAATGATTACCATTGCTGACGTCACTCTTATGCGCTGCAATGACCTTCAGAGTTCAATGACCCAACACGATCGGATTATGTTATCAATACACACATCTCCTCTTTTAAGTCATTTCGATATCACTGGCTGAGTAACAAACCATCTTAATTACTTTTTTCCTAAGTCAAAAAGCTGGGGATTATTTTCCAAGTTTACTTATCGTTAATGGTGGGTGCTATATAATCTGTTGATAACCTAATTAATATGGATATTTTTTAAAGAAATCATACTTTTATTTTTCATTCGGTAAAGACTCCTAGTAGGAGTCTTAGGAGGAACTAGACACTGAAAACCCTCATATTTTAGTAAAGTATGAGGGTTTTCAGTGTCTTTAGTATTTCAATATATTCCAAGAAACCTTAACAAATATCATAATAATATATATGTATATATTTATTTTAAATGAAATATAAAATTCTTAGAATGAACACTTACCAATTGTATGTGTAATGAAGTTGTACGACTGGAACAAACTGAACTTTACTTCATCCCAATTGAATCTGTACCTTGTGGATAAGTACATGACAGAAATTTCACCTGAAATCAAAGAAATTGTACATTTTTAAGGGTTAAAATAAGGAAATCTAAATTTCGAATTAAAGTCGACGTTTGAACTACACACTGCAGCTTTTAAGCTAAGAAATTTCAAAATAAAACTGTTTTTTTTTTTTTTTTAATTTAATATTATGCTCATTTGCATCATAGTACACACGTATGTAGCATATTTATCTTTAGTCCTTTAATTCCCTACAGGGTAGGTAAAAGCCTACATATACCTACCTAAAATGTCACATTCACTTTGCACTAGTTATAACAAGTCTTGTATAATGGGTTAAAACTATATTAACATATACTGCGAGTGATTCCAGACTTCGCACTCCAATGAAAACTTATTTTGCTTAACCCGAGACCAAAGCCCAATGGCCTTCGCTCAGCAATCTTACACAATTTTTACGCCAACATGTACTTACCATACATAGGACCAAATAATACGCTGACTACTCCAAGAAGAACACAAAGGCGTAGCCTCCTACTCTTTGGAGCTTTCCTCACCAGCACAGCAATGGTCTCCTTAACGTTTGATGGATCGAAGAAGACACGGAAAAAGTGACAGCAACCTTGACGATCATGCTGAGGAAGAAGGAGAACTTATGAATGTCACAACTAACTAGGTTAATAGGTCATGAATTAACGTACTTTTTGACTTGTCCAAGGTGAGGCGAAAAGGATTGTTAGACTCTTTCTGACCAGAAACGATCCAGCTCCTTCTTCTGCTCCAGGCTGAGGCTGCGGTACCTCTTTGCGCTTACGACACAACTCCGGCTAAACATCAGCCTTGCTAGCCTATTGGCTACGTATGTAACGTACGTATATCAATGTTGGTATCAGTTTACTTCTGTGGCGGCAATTTGTTTTCCTAACCTAACCTATCATTTTAATAGTATAGCTGGTTAGCTGCGACGTAGATCTTTATTTTCATTACTTCTTTAAATAATAAGACTATTGGATAAGGTTGACATAACTATTTTCACTTTTAAGAATACTATAACATAATAATATGTATGTCTATCGCTAAAATATACGATGGCAGAGCCGGTTGCGGTACAATCGCAATATGTCACCGCAGCCTCGACCTAGGGCAGGAGAAAGAACGGAGCGTTTTTAGTCAGTCACCCTGGGCCGGAGAAGTCATTTCATGATTTTCCATCACAAAAAAATGGTACTAACTATAGATACGTAAAAATACGTTTTTAATTAACTTTAACAGTACGATGGGCACAATGGGGTTGTCATATCCTAAAGCTAGGATAAAAACCCCGTCCAAAATAAATAGACTAAAAAAAAAAAAAAAGCTTTAACAGTTTCGTGTGAACAAATAGTACAATCTCTGGGATCATATATAGATATAAGGCTGGACAATGTTTACATACCTTCTTTTGCTCCTTGTTTCTTTTAGGATCCTTCACCACAAATACAATATACATCAAATTCAGAAACTGTAAACCCGATGTTAGTCCATAGCAGCCGTAGTATCCAATTTTCTTCAACAAGATCCCACTGACCCCCATTCCAATAGGGAAAGCTACTGTTACACTAAAACTAACCAGGCCAAGTCTGAATGTTCTCGTCTCGTCGGTTGTTATAGTACTTATAAAGGCGAACGCTGTTAAAAAACAAACACACCATCCTCCCGAAAAGCCTTCAATAAGCGCTTCTGAAAAGATTAAAGCTTCTAAAGGGAGCTCATTGAAAAAATATACATGAATCATATTGTTGATGCCAATGAGCAATTGGCCAGTAATTGACACCATCATAAAGAATTTTCTGTGACCCGTTCTGTCTGAGAAGGAACCCACAAATAGAGCAAGGACGCAGGGTATTGTAGCTGATAGATAAGTTCTCCATGAAAGAGCTCTAGCAATCAGTTTCTGTGTTTCTCTTTCATATTCATTCTGTGAATCCACTTCTTGCATCCGCAGAGAATGACATATTTCTTCTGTGAAATTAAGATTTACGCGGCAAGCCTTGTCTAAATTTAAATTCTGTGAAGCTGTCATCAAGATCATGGCTGATATTACAAACATTGACAGTGAGGGTTCGAGGGTAATATTTCTGAACACATTAACCACTTTGTCCTTAAAACTACGTTTATCTTCAGGTGGTCCATTTCCTCTAAGTGGGTCTTCTTCCATAAAATCTTCATTGTTTGTATCCTCTCTACTGAATTCGGTTGCCATTTTTGGCAGTTACAAAATCATTAATTTAATTCGATAATGCACTTGTCGATAGAACCGGCGCAGAACGTGAACTGTTTATTATATCTCATTTGATGTCAATTAAGTTATAATCATTTGCGATATATGCCTATCAGGTATATCGTACAAATATAGGGAGCGTACAGCGATATGGAAATGGACGCACGAGTACATGAATAATAACATGCCCTAAACTACCTATGTATATCTACGTTAACTAATCCCAACTTATCAACTGCTATGATTGTAAAATTTATCACAGCAATTGTTCTTACTTAAGTATTGTTATTTCCATTATCAATACGCCGTTGTATAATTGTGTGTATGACATTGTTGCCTAATAAAATGTTTTAATGACATACTCATAGTTTATATGTGAATTGCAATTAACAAAAATGTTTCATGTTTGGATGTTTCAGGTATTAGTCATTACTTACTCCCTTTCACATGCCATTGAGTTTTTTTACTTTCCCACTATAAAAAGTAACTCACACTCTCAAATTTTTTATTGTTTCTCATAAATAACTTTCCTTGTTTATTGAGATGGGAAATCTTGCAAAAAACCAACGTTAATAAGCATTTTAAGGTCGCAAATACTCTCAAATAAACTTTACAGCTGTTTTCCAACGTTTTGGTTTGTTTTGGTTTTCCAAAACCCCTTTCGAAGCATTATCAGTGAACGTGTGACGCGAAATCAGTTAGTAGCTAAATAAGCTTTAAATTAAGTATACATAATTACCTAAATAAAGATTACAGAAAAAACAAGTAGTTGTACTGTATTTGCACTAGGAGATTTTATAACTTTCATTATTCTGTCGTAATGTATGTCAAATATAGAAATTGGAGTTATCATGCTCGCTCAGAAGTCTCATTGGCGGTGGCACAGGCTTGGGTGGGATTGCTCGATCTCCTACAACATGGTTATGTTGGGTAGTGCTAGTGTGTCAAGTTCGTGAAAGGGCAAAGGAAAATTTACCAATGCTTTTTTAAGTTTAAAGAGAGAGAATTTTCCTTTTATTACTCTAACGTAATTTTAGTGCAACATTATTGCCATATACTTCATACTCGTAGCATTTTTATATTGTAACCAAGATAAGATTATGACACTGTGTGGACAAGAACGCTATGCAATTTCTTGCTCGTTCTTCTCCATTCCACCATTCTATGATAGAAGAAAAATTATTTATTTTTGACTGCCGACCAAGAACTATTAGCTATGTTAGCAGTCACCTACGCGGTAGTTAATGTGTTAAAAACTTTAAAATTTTATTCACGACTTTGCTTGATCCATTGAATGTCCCAACGCCCGGAATATCATAATGAATCGGAAAGCTCGAGCACACAAGGCGATTTGGCACCAATTGCTATGCAATGTGGCTATCACTTGACAGTAAGATAAAATACGAATACAATATACATAAACATAGGTATTTTCAATGAAATAATGTTCAAATATCTGTGTATGAACAATACGCAGTTGAGTGTTATCGTTGATCTTAAGTGACAACACCAATTTACATAAAGATAATCTAACAAGGTACCTTTAAGTCCAAATGAGTAAGTAAGTTGCGTATCAGAATCAGAAGATGGCTTACTTCATCGTTGGCTCCATCGAAAGCCGACCGGAATAAGTGCGTCACAACCTCATGAAAAACCGGTGTGAAACATTGCTTGCTCAGACTTTTGAGTGACGATACCGGGAGGCCCAATCCTTTCTTCATAATTCCCAAAAAGCCTGCAACACACTTGTAACTTCTATAGTGTTGTGGTTTCCCTTGAGCGATACCAATGGCTTACCATCATGTGGCAAGTGTGATCGTTTGCCGCTCTACTAAAAAAATGAAAAGCCGATATAAAATTGCTATTTGCGATAGTTCTTTCTTGCAACAAACTTGCTCAAAACAAGAATTTGATTCTTGTTTTAGATGATACAGTTGATAAGTATTGTTCATTGCTACTGGAACTACCAGTAGTAATACAAAGTGCAATGGGTTAACAACTTTATCAAGATGTAACAATGATCCTTTGTTACAAAATGGAATTAGCCGTGAAGGTCAAAATGAACAGATATTATAAAAATAATAAATATCTTAATCTATTGATAAAGTTGTAATATATATTTTGGATAACGACAACAAACAATGTGTTTTCAATGATATAACTAAACAGAATATAATAATATACTATAACTTGTCACAATGATTTCATCATTTTTTCAAATTATCACGGCTTTAGAGGCTGTGTATAATATACCTATATATATAGCATAATTTACTATTTACGACATATAATATTTACGATATGTATCCATTCATTTGAAAAGCTATAGGTATTTGGATAATTACCTAAATCCTATATTCGCTAACTTTTATTGATTGATTTTATAACCCGATGGGTTTTTTTTTTGAGTGAGAAGAATTTTAATGGAGCCAATGTTTTCCATAACACAATTGATATCTTTTATTTTAATCAGCTACATCGCTCCGGTTTTTGATAGCATTAGAACTCAAAAAATGGCACCTTAATTTCTACTCAAAAATGACACAACAATATAATAGATGATACTTATTGACGAAAGCATAAGAACTACTTTGACTAATTTTAAACATGATGCTACTATTAAAAGTTTTAATACTTATAAAAAGCCTCAATAATATATTTTTAAGAAAAATAATAATCATATGTCTTCTCCCTCACTGAGTGTAGAAAGATGGACTGTCAGACTCTTACTGAGTACAAACCACCTCTTTCCTTCTCTTGCTCTGAACAGGGCTGCCATACATCATTACAGTGCGGCCGACGTATCTCAGCGAGTCTGAAGTTAGCCGTTTGTCTGCGCAATGGATATTTTAGGAAAAAAATTGTGTACTGCGCAGCTACTCGGCTAACTTCAGACTCGCCAAGATACAACGGCCGTATAGTACGTTTACACTCGTAACCTCAGAGAAATATATCTGCATCCAGTTTAAAAAAATTATCAACTACTTTAGTAAGATACATTTTGAACTTACATCTGGGAAAAGTACTTAAATTATCCTTCCTCAAACGTTAGTACAACAGATCATATTCCAGATGGCATACTAAGTTAACGCTATGTGCTATGCAAACAGTCGGTTAGCGTGTGGTGACGTCACATTAGTGTACTTTAGTCTCCAACCCTACCACAAGTATTATAAAAGCTGACTTATATAACTACACAGTCGTGTAGTGGGCTGTTTCACTCCCAATGATTGACTAAACCAATAGCGTCACACACAAACACACATCTTGACGGATGCCTCCTGTTGGGGCAGGTCGGCTCATTCACGTGTCGGTATGCTAATTTAGTATTTTATAGGAGATTATACCGTCGTGGTGGCCCGGAGGTAAAGGAGCCCGCTTCTCATGCATGAGGGTGTAGGTTCGAAACCTGGCAAGTACCAATGTAACTTTTTCCATGTTATACGTGTATGTGCTTTCTATGATTATTTAGACGCTACTGACATACTGTGAAGGTAAACATCGTGAGGAAGCCTTGACTTATAATTTCTAATTGTAATCGCCAACCCGCATTGAGCAAGCGTGGTGATTAATGCTCTGACCTTCTCCGTATGAGAAGAGGCCCTTTGCTCAGCAGTGGGCATTTATAGGCTGATGATGATGAGTAGATTATATTATACTATGTCTTTCTACTTTTTTTAATTAAACGTGATAGTTGCATGGTTGTCATTTGCATAAATGTGTGCAAAAAGACTAAAAAGCAATCCAGAAAGTACCATAAAAGTTGCAAATAATGTACATATATTACGTAACATTAATATTTAAATAGAACTTTGTTTAATCACATACATCACGTGTGTCGGTATCAACGGAATTTATGACTTAATTTTACTAATTATTGTGCAATCCAGTTACTGGGAAGATTTTGCTTCGAAATTCTAACGTCTATAGACATTAAAATTAATCTCAATTTCCCTTGATCATTGCAACAGGCGTGAGCGACGTGGCGGATTTTGTGAATTATTTTTAATTGTCTATAGACGTTTCGTTGTTCTTTCGTTTATTGGTTTGGATTATTTATTTTAGGTTCCCAATTTGGTAAGCGCAATACGAGATTTAAAAAATGAAATTTAAGCGACATCAATAGAATCTTTTCTCTTGTATTGTCAGAAATTTACACAAGCGCGAATCAGAAGCAGGCCGATATGCTAAATATAACTGTGCTTCATAGCATAATTTATTTTCAAATCTATTAAACTTTAGCTGATATTAAGTATTGCAATTTTTTTTATTTTGTGAGAAATGGTATTTCGATTTTGTAAGTGTGCATTCCTTTAAAAATGGTATTATAATTATGATTATACAGCACAAATAAGCAGTGATTAATTATTTCCGTAAATTAGTATACCACTTTAAACTACTTAAGTGTCTCGTAGTAACCAATGCTACGACGTAGCACTACGCGTAGCGAGTGACTACGATGGAACTTTATACACGTGAATTGGATAAATAGTGATTCTGCGTTTTTTCACTCTGTTATTTCAATAAGTGACTCTGACAAATATTAAATTAAGCTGAGAAATGGAAAATGATAAATAAATGACAATATTAAATTACAATAAAATTCGTATACTCTCCGAATCAGAAGCCATTATACAGGGCGTGTTAATATGTAAATTGTAGTTTTTTATTTGATTTAATTGTTGTATGGTCATGGAATCAATCAATCACAATGGTCACCTTATTTAAAATTTACAATTCATTCATTCATCAATTATTCATTGATAGTACGTAGATAGATGTGAAGTGTTGTAAACCCAATTTTAAGGCATCCATGGGACATTCAAATATACGTGATACAAATATTGCACTATTCTTTGTTTCTATCTTTTTCATGCATAACTGATCAGAACGACCTATCTTTAACTACATCCGAAAGATAAGGCATTGTTGGATTTTTATCAGTTCAAAACTTATCTGTATTTTCCCAAAACAAAACGGAAATTTTGTATATTTTTGATAATTTAATAAGACTACTTGTATTTTTTACCTATTCCACTCTGCCTAGCTATCCGGGGAGTAACAGGATTGTCAAGAGTTCCAAAATTAAAATTAATAATCTCACACCTAAATGTACAAAATAAGTATGACTTGCGAAAGATAATACAAGTTGACATAATTTATCTTTATTCCTAA